CAAAATATAGCGACAGATATAGCAAAAGAATCAACAAACACCGAAACGACGTTCTTTTTACACGGTAAATTATAACAATTTCCACGTTAGGTCGCGAATACTATGTTAAGAACATGTTTCTACGTGCTTGCAGCATTTTTTACGATCGCTCTTTGATGTTGCCAAGTTAGAAGTAATATATCGACAAACACACGCAGTGCATGGATAGAGAAATTGAAATGCATCTCGATTTCTAAGCTCAGCATCGATTTATCTTCGTTAATCTGCTCTCTTATTGAAAATTCTTATCGACAGGATCAAAAAAGCTAGACAAGACGCAGCACAAGGAAATGAAAACTAAGAAAAATCGAAGAACCGTGGGACGTAGCGCGAGGGAATGAGAGATAAGGAGAGCAAAGGATTACACACGGCTGAAAGAATGGAGCGATTCCGAAGCAACGATTGAAAAAAGTGGGGGCACCAACGTGCATTCGGAGTGTTGGCCAGCATTCACGTATTGCATCGTACGTAGAACGACTAATTGCGTTGCACCTGTACGAACGAGGCGCGCAAGCAAATTTAACTTTGTCATTTTCCAAACAATTGAAATTTCGCCACAGATCTTTCTTCCACTCTGTCTCGTCCACGTGGCTAATTTTCTTTTCGTTATCTGTTGCCTGTTGCACGCGATCGGTAGTTTTTAAATCACAGAAGCCAGAAGCTGTTCACATGAGCCGAGGATCTATTTCCAGTTGGCAGGACTATGGACGCAGAAGTTGTAAGTGATTGACGATTGCCTTTCGTTGTTTGATTCAATTTCCACGTCGTTACTTTCCATCGATAATATACGCGTATGTTTTTTGTTCAATTCTTTAACGATTTAGCACAACCGAGAGATGTTCGTCATTCAGCATTGTGTCTGCGGTATCGGATGAATTATTTCGCGTTTTAAAGTATAAAATCACGCATGGAATAAATATATGTCACGTAGGAGATTTCTAGATGGAACGTTACAACGTGTGGATTGCGGATGTTCACCTATTTTAGTGAAATTTTATATTCCAGAAGTTTACAGAATGCATGTAATATGCAGAGATACATACGATATTTAAATTATGCCGCTTACTATGATACTTAGTAGACGAAAGAAAATTCCCTTTAGATTCCATTTCATTAATTACGTTCGTAGAAATATGAAATTACATAAACATCTGTAGTCTAGTTACAAGGAAAGATAAAACGCGTGTAAAATATATTGCCAACAATTTCTTCCAACAATTATTGATAATTTTGAACATGAAACAGTATATATCTCGAACCGTAGTTTGTTCTTACGAATTCGTGTTCATGTGCTCGTTTGTGCTCATTACCCAGCTATCGTTGGAACTTCTTCATTGGTATTTATTCGTTTCTCGATAATAGTCATTACATTCTATTAGCAGATAGTTAAGAATCCATGTGTGAACGCTGAATAATATTTGTGCGATGTTGCGTAATACGCAGGGGAAAACTTTGAAATTAATTGAAGAATGGAAAAGTCGAAAGAAGGTGGGAGAAGATAAACGTGTATGTTAACGAGCCGATAAGAACGCGTGACAATCTTCTAGTCGAATAAAAATCAATATGCTTGGGAAGTAACTTCGAAAGGAAGATAACATTTCACTCGTTTGCAACGAAACTAATTGAAATTATTGTAGTTGTATCAAGTATATTCCCTCGAGTACATGTGAAAATAGAGTGAATCTAGTTTCCTATTTATTGGTTTCTGATAGCTTTTTACAAATTCGTTAATAATACCAAACAGCCTATAAAATTGTGCGACAACTATCCTGGACTTTTAAATTGAAAAATATATTTCGTACTGTTTGTTGAAAGAAATGCATCACATTTTATACAATTTTATCGTGCAGTTCTATTTAGTTGGAATGCTAAACTCGTTATTTACAGAGTTGCTTTAAAAGTAATATATTATGTTCAAATGAATTTAATGCTTGTTTGCATTGTTTTACGCTTGTCCAGCATCTGCATTGAAACAATACGACATTCGAAAGAATAAAGTTGTATTTTCTTGAAACATATAATACGAAAGCCCAAATGCTATCAACGCTAAATGGTTTCATCAAAACATTCTCTTTCGCGTAAATCAATTTCCTTGTAAATTCCTATTTTTGTAATGCCACATTAAACGTACATTGAAGTTATCGTACTAACACGTACATCACATTTTTCTTCAAACTACTGCTACATATAAAATAAACGGTATACAAAGACACCAAATTTACTTTATCAGAATATTTTGTATATCGCATCGATATAATAAATGACTGTTTCCAGTATAGTAAATAATTTCCAGTATAGTAAAAAGTAATTAGTACGAAGTTAGTAAAACTCGTAGCGTATTTCTAAACTATTAATTACCAGCAAGTCTAAACTTTTCTTTGTCTATTGCAATAATCCTATGCTTTCTGTACTTCAGATAGCCAAAGATAATTCGCATAACGAGTATTTAAATGGCAGCTTATATCAGAATTATTTTGTTTCTTTGCTGCGAGCTCTCTAACGGGTGTCCGCGAATATCAGGTAAAATTGCACGAGTTCCTCAGATATGATCGCTTAAACGCGTTCCCGTTGTCGTGAACATTAGTAAGAATCCGCATTGCTATTTTCCACGATTGTAATTGCTTGATTGTCAGAGACGTTCGTGTCTCTGAAGCGTAACCGATGTGAGTGCGCGGTAGTTGGCATTAAAAATTCGCTTCTTCCACGGAGCTGATCGCGTACATTTCCATTTCTTCTTCTATGAAAATCCCAATGGTTTATCCGTGTGTGGAGAAGTCGTGAATCGATGGAAGCAATCGGATTACGCGTAACACGAGTCGCGTATAATTCTAAGAGGAAACGTGCGATTGCAGTGATTATGTGACAGATGCGATGATTTACGTTGCACGTGCACGCAAGTGTGATTGCGATTTTAAGTTTGCATCGAGTATCAAAGTATTTTAATGCACGATACGATCACCTCTACGGTTTCAATCTCTTCATCAAAGTATTTCTTATCAAAGCATAAAGTCTAGGATAGTAATTTGAAGCAAACTATAATATAGACATTAGTACAATAATTGTAGTAATTAGCAAAGACAAGCAAATGGCAATATTCTTATGGACGTTTTGCTCGAAGATTATGTATCATACACGTTTGATTAACTGTAAGCATTTGCACGAATTGCTTTGAAATTGACGATAGAATCTGAGCGATACATATGGACGAACGTATGAACATACAAATGTAACTGTTACGTTTCAATTACATTTTTCTAATATTTCACCTTCGCACTAAAAAATCGCTGAAAAATATTAACGAAATTTTGGCTTTAAACAATAATTCCAACTAGCGCTTAATGATACAAATATCAGAAATTCCTGCCAACAAACTAAGAGATTTAAATAAAGAGATGCAATTCTGTCCCATACTATGTTTCATTATAAAGACTATTACCGACTTCGGCGAATTTTTCCTTTCGTTTAATTTTCCCATTTACAACCTTTTTGCTGTTTATTGAACTGCTTAATATACGACTGATATACGATAGTTTAATAAACGACTAGATGAACGTGGATTAGGTAGATTTTCAGTTTCGTTTTGTTTATACGTTGATCACGCACCGTGTGACATAACGTGTCACACAATCTTGCAGCGTATTATATCGCCGTGAAAAACTACACGTCCAATTCGCATACGTAATCCTACTGTTAGTAACCTTCGGCCACTTCGCGTGCGCTATCGTCGTTGATAGGTATATTTTTATTTTCCTTTAGTTGAAACGATTCAACGTGTTGAGCGAGCACACGAATTAGGTCAATCATAGTGGAGACGAAAATTAGTGGCGAACAAAGCAACGCAAAGTTCAAGCAAGCGTAGAACACTTCAAGTTAAACGATTCGAAGAATTTCATAGAACCGCGAATCGAAGTTTACGAGCATGTGGTACGTACAATTAGCAACGCTAACGAGATTAACTATGGAAACTAACGAAGGGAGAGAGAGGAGCACTGCTAATCGCAGCTGTACAATTTACAACGTCCGATTTATGCTCGCGTTTATGCCTGGTCGTAACGATTAGGACTAGGTCATATGGAACATTCAGCAGTTTAGAAAACTAAAATTGCTCAATACTTTAGTGAACAAGTGAACTTGATGCAAACGATAAACGTAGGGTATCAAACACTTTAGACGTATTGTAGCGTAGGTTATATTAATCTACAGTGCCACATGTCAAATTAATCTCGTGTCACTAATATCTCGTACTAAAGTGCTCGACGTAACGCATTTGCTATAGGGCTTTGTTATGGACTACGTACTTGCAGGTTTCTCGTCGATAAACTTGCTTGTGTATGTATTTATGTATTATATATTATGTATTACGTGCTGTATGTTATATTATAATGCAATATACAATATGTAGGCTGGACCGTTTAAATGGGAACATCTAAATATCTGCGTTATTTGAGGTTTTATGGGAAAAGTCCTTAAGACAAAGTTGAAGCATTTCAAGAGGCGCATGTTGCGGTTAAGATTGTTTCCTCCAGGTCATTTTTCCACGTATTTCAAGGTAATCTGCATTTTTAAAACGGAGTATTCGTTTGGCTCTGCTCCCGGTACGAGGCTCAGTCTGGGACTTAAAAATTTCTTGGGAAGCGATTAGTGATTGGATAGTTTTATCAATGGAGTTTGGTCTAGTGGACAATAAAAGGTGAAAAGTGGGAGTAAAGACGCTTAAAACTATCTACATCGTGGGATGACTGGATGGGACGTCGGGAGAGACACCGGAGGATCCAGCCGACGGGGTAGACCGTCGAAGGAAGGAAAAAGAAGACAAGGCATGACTCGAAGATTGTCCTTTACTCAAAAGGGAGCTTGAAATGTCTCAATATTTCCAATTCCTAAGAAAAGCTTAAGAATAGAGAGAGGCTCATTTAAACCGGCGCGAAGTCCGACTAAAACTCAAAATCATCAAGAAGATAGAGAAATGAATGTGGACTCTCAAAACGAATCCACCGACCAAAGTCTACTTGCTTTCTCCTAGCACCGAGAGAGTAAGGACACATAAACCTGTTAGGCTGGTCGTAAGGAGCAAAATGTTTGAAAAATCAGAGGATGAAGATCGCTGGATATTGGAGAGAAGGATGAAGGAATCTTCCTCGTCCTCGGATAGCGGGGAAAATCATTCACACTCCGGCCCAGCAATATAAGAGCATCAGTGAAGATACTGGAAGTGTTAATGATAAACACAAACATGATTAAGGATAAACTGGAAGACTCCTCCGTAAGAACTCTCGTAAAATTCAACATGAAAAGTATCAAACACCTCTAAAGCACGAAGGAATGGCTGGAGAAATTTGTGAAAAGGGAGGGCTTGTACAAAGAAGCTGAGAAGCCCAAACACACTGCGAATGCTGCTACTCAAATTTCCCTGTCGTTTGGAGGGGAACAAAAGAGAGATAAAAGGGGATAAGTATCGAACGTAGGCACTCAGACCGATAAGGGAATAATCGAAGCAAGTTGGATATCGAGAAGAAAGGAGATCTCGCCTTTGGAAGGCAGACGAGTAGATAGAAAAAGACCCAGGAGAGGCGAAACTACATATGCGGAGGTTTGCCAGCGCGACGATGATTCTGAAGACGCAACTTCTATCAGGGAAGATACTGTGTTTGAAAAGGCAAAAAATAGGAAATAATTTACAGTGAATGAAGAAGGACCAGACAGGCACAGGACTGTAAT